TTGATAAGGCTAGCATTGTTTTATATTTATTTCTTCCACAAATTTATTGAATCCTTTGCTGGGTGTAATGGGGTAGTGGTTATATTTTTAGAGTGGAATAGAATAGAATCATTTTTATTCGATATAGATTACAAGAATATTTATTGAAAGTCATTTTTATTATTTTACCACTGGTTCGGCAAAGTTAGAGGAACCACTAAAAAACCCAGCGGGACTTTTTTAAATGTAATTCAAACTCTGGTTCTGTACTCGGATAGCCATCGTAGCCCTACTGTACAAACACTTCAGCACTTCGATATACTGACAGTCAACTTGGCACCGCTGAACGGACTGTAGCACCGCCCAAATTTCGACGGAATCAAAGGCTTTCTCATAGTCCACATACCCCAGGAAAAGTGGCAGATTGTACTCTTCGGACTTCTGTATATTTTGCCGAAGGGTATGTATGTGGTCTATGGTACTAAAGCCTTTTCGGACACCTGCTTGTTCGGGAGGCTGGAAGTCGTCGCCTCGACGTATTATCAGCAAATAAAACTATATCATAGTTATTCTCTACCAAGTAATGTATTCTACAGTCATTTGTATAACTTACTATGTATGTGCTGTCGGAATAATAAAACTTAATATTTTTGAAATAATACTAGTTTTTACGGAATTTATCGCGTATATTTAACTTTTTAAATACTCGACGTTTCGAGAGCTTTACAGCACCCATGGTCACGGGAAGGACTGAGATGTTCAACGTCCAGATGTCATAGTTAACCGCGGTTACCATAGATTAAAATTTAACTTTTGTTCCGATCTACACAGTATGAACTTATGGTATCATGAAGTTTTGCAGTTGTATGCTTGGGTTGCTATTTAATTTTATTTATTATAGGATCCCAAGCAGATGGTAGCACCCAGCCATCTTCTCTATTGAAATTAGGATGTTTTTTGATTTCAATAGCCTCGCGAATTATCCTTGGAAGGAATCGGTGTTTTTTAGCGAGGATTTGTGGTTTATCAAATCTGATGTAGTGACGGGGGCGATCCTGTACGTGTTCACAGACTGCAGACTTCCCGCAGCGTCGATTCTTCACATCAGCTATATGTTCTTTAACGCGGGTTTTAATTGATCTTTTAGTTTGTCCTATGTAGGAGAGACCACATTCACAATCAAGCTTGTACACTCCTGCATCTTGCAGAGGGACGTTACACTTGACTGATGTAAAAACTGACCAATATTCTTCGGCGGCTTGAAGTATGTTTTGATGGAAGCGCGCTTCAAGATGTAGCCAATCTTGTCAGTGACTCCTCTAACATATGGCAGTACAGCATGTACACGCTCGACTGTGGCCGGCTTCACTCGTTCTCTGTGACGTAGGCGCGGGACTCGAAGCTTGTTGTCATGCAAAACTTGCTTGACGTGTTGGAGCCCGGCAGCCAGGTGTTTACTGTCACAGATCCCTCGTGCTCTCTGAAACAAAGATTTACCCACAGTAGCTAACTGTGAAGGATGGTGGTGAGAATCACCGTTTAAATATCTATCTGTATGGGTCTTTTTTCTATACACAGTATGACTCAAGGTGTTATCAGGATTCCCAATTACTAACACATCTAGAAAGGCTAAGGAATTGTTTGCCTCTAACTCCATTGTGAACTGAATTTTAGAATTTATAGAGTTAAGATGGTCTAAAAATGCAGTTACTTTATCTAAAGGTAGAATTGTGAAAGTGTCGTCTACGTATCGCTTGTAGAATCTTGGATTTATGGGAGAAGTAAGCAGGGCTTTCTCCTCAAAGTCTTCCATGAATATGTCGGCGACAATGGGAGATACAGGTGAGCCCATCGCCACACCATCTACTTGCTTGTAGAACTCCTCCTTCCACAATAGGTAGCCAGATGTAAGGCAGTGTCTGAGTAATACTGCATATTCTACGGGCATTTTGTTTTCTTCCAGCCTTCTAGTTACATTACCTTGAAGTTGTTTACTGTCGCACACTCAATTTATTGAAACCGTTTACTCAAAACAAACTTAATTATTAGGGTTAGGTTCGGTTAGTCTATAATTTTTTTACTCGTAAGTCGTTTTTATTTTTCTTTGCCATTAATTCTACTTAATAACATCAGAAGAAGCATTAAATAAAGAAATTTCTCACATTAATGTTCTGTAGACCCCATTAACAGATGTTATTGCACCGTATAATCACAATTTATTCATGTGTTATAAGCTTATAAGGTTATATTAGGGTCATCATTTATATTAAGCTTTAATAAAGATTTTACTTATCTATTGAAAGGGACTTTATTTCCCTTATAATATCCCGGCAATATGTTGGCCGTATAGCTCAAAAAACCGACAGCCGATGGTTAAGAACGCGTCTGTAATTATGTAATGTTGAAAATGTGTAGAAGGTGTCAAATGCTCTCGGCTCTCGGACTCGGACGTGTTGATATGTCTAGGACTTTAATTAAACTGCCACTAATATTCTATACCTTACACTAATATATATGATCGTGGGGGCTATACTACAATATATGTCATACAAATACGTTTTATTGCTTCACAAATACTGTGATACGTTCTAAAATCATCAAATACTGTGATGTGATACGATGAAATAATAGTTAATGAGTGGATAACACATCCACGTTTGTTTTCTATCCATTCCACTTCAGCATATAAAAGTTCACTGGTGAATATAGGCCTCTTTTATTTGATTAAATATTGCCTAATGGGGCATCTTTGCCATAGTTGTCACGCCTGGCAGGCGGGTTGGCAACAACAATTCTTATATTATTATTATTATTAATTTTTTCTATATAATTTTCTCACCTGGTTGGGTTCTATAAATATATAATTATAAATTAAAATGAAAAGATAAATGTACATAAATATCAATAAAATAAAATAAATACAAAAATTACATAAATAAATAAGATCCAACCAGATGGGAGCCCTCGGCAGGGGAGACCAAACGGCCGAGGGTTAGGAGGAAAGGGAAAGAAACCGGCGGACGATGCGGGCGGTATCGAGGAGCATCGCCTTCTGCATTTGAGCCCGGAGCGGTCCGTCACGGAGTCCCAGACGCCCGAGATGACCCGAGAGGCTGACTGGGATTAGCCCATTCGCAGAGACGACTACAGGAATAATTTACGTCGGCATACCACCCCACATGTCGGTCACCTCGTGAGCCAGGTCCAGATATTTTGTTCGTTTATCTGTTTCGGCTTTCACGAGGTTCTCGTCATACGGAATGGTAATATCGATCAAAAATATCCTTGACTGTGCCCGGTCCATCAGCACAATATCAGGCTTATTCGCAAGAATAATCCTGTCTGTGATGATGGCCCGGTCCCAGTAGAGCCTGGCGCGGTCATTTTCGAGCACGGCTTCCGGCAAGTACTTGTGTAATACGGCAATTTTCGGTCCACGAGACCGTATTTCAGAGCGAGCTCCTGGTGTAGAATTCTGGCTACTAGGTTGTGCCTGTGCAAGTACTCAGAGTTAGAAAGCGCCGAACAACCGGAGATGACATGCCTAAGTGACTCCCCGGGATGGCGCCAAGCTCGACAGACATCGACAGTGCCATCTTTTAGGATGTATCTCCGATAGTTGTTGGTCTTAATAACCTGATCCTGTATTGCACAGACAAAACCCTCGGTTTCCCCGAAAAGGTCACCGAAACGTAGCCAGTTGAGGGAGGCGGCTGTATCTACCTGAGGCTCATGTAGAGCTCTGTAGTACCTCCCATGGAGCTCCTTCTCCTTCCATACGGTCTCCCGGTCGGAACTGCTCTGTACTGCCGGGTCTTGCCATTGCTCGTTGGCTAAGGATAGAGGGGGTAAGTCCTTTATCACTAGAAATAACGACATTATAGAATGGATCATCCGATCTCGCCAGGAAGTAATGACGGAGGCTGCACACTTCGCGATTATGCATGGTGAGCGCGCTCAGGAAGCCACGCCCACCATGCTTTCGCGGCAAGTACAGCCTCATTACCGACGATCTCGGATGATGCATCCTATGGGACGTCATTGTAGTGCGGACTTTTCTATCCAGGGCGTTAAGTTCAGTCTGCCTCCACCTGAGTATGCCAAAGGTATACATGAGGACAGGCATGACCCAACCGTTATATGCATGTGTCTTATTCACACCGGACAAAAGGCTGTTAAGCACTTTGGTCAAGCGTGCATAAAACACGTCGCAAACTGACTGTTTCATACCAGCCTCATCGATACCGATGTTCTGTGAAACATACCGATACCCAGGTATCGGTATGTTTCAGCCTGGGAAAGGGCCCTTAAGTTGACGGGCATAGATAAGTCTATGCCCTCAGAGTTAGCGACCCTTCCCCTTTCAACATGGAGGACCGCACACTTATCTGTCCCCAGCTCCATTCTGATAGAATTGCTAAATTCACAAGTGATGTTTAGCAATTCCATAAGATGGGGGCGACTGGAGGCGAATAATTTGAGATCATCCATATAAAAGAAAATCCCCCTTCTTATCCTTATGCGGCTTTCCGCAGCCGTCATCCGCTCGCCTAGATGACAGAGGATCGTACTCCACTGCCCCATACACTGCTCGAGGAAGTCTCGAACTGTACAGTCAATCTTGTACAGCTCGAGGACCCTCTTTAGCCATGTATGGGGAACCGAGTCAAATGCCTTTCTGTAATCTATCCAAGCGGAGGAGAAGTTCCGACGGTTGCGTTTCACCACTTTGCCAATGACCGCGTCAATGAGGAGTGGTTCCTTGGTTCCACGACCGCCGCCCCCGACATCCATTTTGAGCGCGCGACATCACCTGATTTGAGTCCAGGGGACGAGCGATTCTCGAGCTCAAAATGGATGTTAGTGTCTTGTATATAGTCGGTAGACACGTGATGGGGCGGTATTTGCTCGGGTCTGTGGCACCCTGATCTTTAGGAACCAAATGAGTGATCCCAGTAGTGAAGAGGCTTGGGAGCGACTTCTGGTTGAGAGCCTCTTGAAACTGTCGAGCGAGCACAGCGTCACACCATGAACCCCTTCAGCCAGTAGTGATGCAGTCCGTCAAGCCCCGGACTTTTCCAGTTCAGGGCCCTACGGACCGCCTCAGCTACGTCATCCGGCGTTATGATGACGGGGTCCATGGGCGTAATACCCGCACACTGACTCGCCTCAACTTCCGTCCAAGGGCCCTCGTTGTGGTTTACGGGCTCTGACCACAGGCTGCGCCAGAACGCGACCGTGTCGGCCTGATTTGGTACAGGGCCCGTTCCACTTACTATTGGTCGCTCCAATGATTTATAGAGCCTCTTCTGATCACTCTGGAAGAGACGATTCTGGTTGAACCGTGTCGACCTCTCGGTATATCGCCGAATCCGCTTTCCCCAAGCAGCGATTCTCTGCTTCAGGTCGTCTATGCGCTCCGTCAGTTTTTGCATTATATCCGGCTGGGACAAACTAACATTTGTCCCAGCAAACGCCATCCTGACGGTGCGCACAATCCTTGGCCTGGTATTGCCTGACCTGAAGCATATCAGTCTGCCGATGAGGGCCCTAGCCTTTGCGATACGTTCTTCAATTCTTATTCTCCAGGCTGGGATAGCACTATTTAGTCCAGTAGCGAGTCCAGCCGTGGAAAGTTTGGCGCCTATAATACGGCAGATATTATTATTATATATTATTCTTATAATTTTGAGTTGTTATCTTCTGATGCTGAGATGCTGTTGCACATATCCTTCTGCAGTCTCCCTCTGTTGCCTATTACGATATCCACGGAATTAAGCCCAGTAGTGTATAATATAATTTTTTCATAGGATAACGTCCACACTCACTTTCCTTTGTTATAAACATGTTATAACAAACTTGTATGTTTAAACTCAGTATTGATTAACAATTAAGTATTTTTTAAATAGGGGTGACCAACGAGTTCACCTGATGGTAAGTGGATGCCATGACTCATAGACATCCTCATCATCGACACTTATCCTCGATTAAGAAACAAAATGCAGATGCGCCTTCACCTCTGAGGACCGGGATGAAATGCTTATTTTCCAGTAAAAAAGGTCTCCGGTTTTCTACACTCACCATACGAAATTATTTCACGCTGGTATTCTGTGAGAGCGTGTTCCTACCCTGGTCGAGCTGACCCCTTCGTGTTACAACCATAATATAGTTGCAGCGTGGCTCTACCACGTACATATATAGTATAATTACACGGTGAGAGGCATTTAAGTCCTCAGAGATGACAACGCATCCGTAGTCATGTTTGTTAAGAGTTTGCGGCAGATGTCCACGGAATGCAGTAGCCACTTGCCAGCAGGTGAATCTTGTAAAAAAACATCGATTACCGGTATGAAGCTGCCATTTGAGAACCTTCCTTACCCATCGGTAGTCGGTGTTTCGAGCTATGAGGCTCGACCACTTCAGCTTACTGATCGTATCAGAATCATATATCTTTACTGGCAACACGCACTGGTGCGTTCTTGTTTTCAAGTCTTGAGGTATACGTGATGAGAACATGTGTCGTAATAACTTAGATTGGATTCGTTGGTTTACCTCTCGGTCAAAGCTGGAGTTACCTAGTTAGTCAATTTATCCTAGGTAAGCAATGCAAAAACTTCGGGCGTCGTGTACACAACAACTACCATCATAGTCGTGACATTGACGACAAGACAAAGTAAAGATCATGAGTAAATCTTTGCCTTATCTTGCTCATCTTAAGATCTACACAATGGGAAAAAATATAGAGGTTATTAAGCATAATGTTAGGGTCCTTCAGCGATTCTGCCATAATGAATATATCGTCTGCAAATCAAAAGTGAATGATGTATTAGTCAGTGATGTTAGTACTTTATACTTTCTAATCAATGATATTATAAATTTTTTCTTATAATATCATTCTTTCCAGTCCAATAACTTGAAAACGTTTTCCAATGTAGCGGTGCAGTGTTACAGGGATCTATAGCGTCATTCCGTCTTACACCTGTCTGCAGTTGGATAGGCTCTGGTTCTGTACTCGGATAGCCTTCGTAGCATTGTAGTGTGTAATTTACTTGAATGTGAAAAACGCGATGTTATTTGTGCTTTCTATTTTTTACCAGCTCTTATAAGTCGAATAAAGGGTACAAGCATATTTTTCTTTTTGAATGGACTCCTACGGTTATACTTTTGCCACTGTCAAGGGATAAGAAATTATCATTTGTACTATTTTATCTGCAGATTATACTGATACGTCACATTGTGAGTTTTGGAAGATTTTGACATCGCAAGTTCTTAAGGCGCCTTGTCGGTTGTGTTTGTCGGAGCGCTTATTTCGTCACTTCCAGCCCACACGCGCAGACACTCAATACACAAAATCGCATGTCTTTTACGAATCAAAATTAACTTCACACCATTACTGAAACGATAAAACTGGAGCAAAAATTCGCCGGCGGTCAAGTTTCTGCCAAATTCAATGACTTCTTTATACAAGTAGGATTTGCCATACATGCCAAGCTTGGCAGTTGGCTTAGCGACCGCAGAACCAGATGTTTACGTGGTAGAGTCACGCTGCGACGTATATTATTGTTGCATGAATAAGTCAACTAGCGCCATCTAGTGTCAGGAACGAGAGCGAGGGGAGCATTGAGAAAATGACATCACAAATCACTCAACTGACAGCGCCTAGTCGAAACTCGAACGCTCGGTACCTTCCGCGTGGTTACTTGAACATTCTGGATATTTCTTTGCTAATTTAAATATATAGGCGCTGCAAGATGCGATGGAGTTAGTGTTGATTTGGGCGAAACAAGCGAAGCTTCGGAGTGGAATTAAGTGAATTAGTGTGTTTAAATTATTAGTGTTTTAACTTTAATTGTGTAAAGTAAATTAAAGTGTTAATTTAGGTAATTTTATCGGCAATTTTTATTGTCACGAACCTCAAGCTCGTAACAATTGGTGTCAGAAGCGGGATAAAATCATGCCGATTTTACCTAAGGAGGAAACGGAGGGTGTCCGTACCCGAAGTCAACGCCAGCAGGAGACGGACCAACGAAGATTTGATGGTGCGACGCCGCAGACGTCGGAGGGCCAGCCGCCAGCTGCAGGCCTGTCAGTAGCTCCTACATCTGCAGCACCTGACTTAGGTGCTCTGATGGTGATGCTGCAGGAGCAGGCTCGCCGACAGGAAGAACAGGTCCGTCGTTTGGAAGAGCAGCTGCGGGGCGGACAGGAGGAACAGGCCCGCCGATTAGAAGAGCAGCTGCGGGGCGGACAGGAGGAACAGGCTCGTCGGTTCGAAGAGCAGCTTAAGCGCGGACAGGAGGAACAGGCCAGTCAGTTGAAAGAGCAGCAGGAGGATCAGGCCCGCCGACACGAGGAACAGGCCCGCCGACAGGAGGAACAGATGCTCCTCATGAAGGACCTTCACGCTACCTTCGGGAAGGAGATAAAGGAGGTGAAGGATAGGGTTGCTCACCATGACAACCGCCTGTCGGAAGCTGAAAACCGAATCGAGAAAACTGAAATCCGAATCGACCAAGTAAACAATCGGGTTGACAACGTAATGGCTGACATGAAGAAATCACTGGACGAACTCAAACTTTGAGATGGAGCTACAGCTCCCGTAGTAGCTACAACACCTTCGCTACGTGGGTTCAAGGTGCCACCGTTCGACGGTACCTCTTCTTGGTCAGCCTACAAAATCCAGTTCGAGGCTGTTATGAAGGCGAACGGCTGGAATAAAAGTCAGGCCATGACTGCTCTCACACTAGGCCTGCGCGACCAGGCCTTAACAGTTCTGGAAGCTCTCGGTGAGGAAGTGACTTATGAGCAACTCCTTGAGGCATTGGAGGCGAGATATGGCGACGCTCACCTGGAACACGTCTTTCGTGCGCAGCTTAAAGATCGTGTGCAGCGCATCAACGAAAACCTGCAGCAGTGGGCTCTAGAGGTGGAGAAGCTGGTGCGAAAAGCTTACCGGTCTGTAGCTGCGCTCATTAAAGGGAACCTGGTGCAGACATTTATCGACGGCGTCCGTGACCTGGAAGTCAGAGCTGCTGTGAGGCTCGGGCACCACGAGACGCTTAAGGACGCCTTGGCCCATGAACTGGAGGTAGAAGCCGTGCGGCAGGATCATCGTTCCCATCGCGTCAGGGAGGTTGCAGCCGCTACAGTTCGCGACCGCAACAAAGGATACAGCCCAAGGTGCTATGGCTGTGGGGGAAAAGGGCCATCTTCGATCCAGCTGCCCTAAGCGAACCCTAGAAAGGGAAGGTGAACGATCCCAGGTGGGTAGTGCGGCCAACAGCACCGCCCAGCAGCGGCAGGGAAACGAGTAAAAGCCAGAACTGCGGGGTGGGTGCTGGCTGATGTTAAAAGAGCCCCAAGGATCTCGATCTCACAAACTCATGATGGGAACAGTCTAATCATCAAGGGCGAGGTCAACGGAATGCCGTGTAAACTTACCATAGACACTGGAGCCTCTCGTACGGTTGTTAGTTCCCAACTTATAAGTCAGTTCCTTGGGGACTCCGCATACAACCGAGAATGCATTAATTTGGTAACAGCCACCGGTCAGCGTATACCCGTCCGTGGAGAGAAGGAGATGGAGTTGAAGCTAGGCAACGTGATCTACCTGCATAATGTCATCATGGCTGATATAATGGACGACTGCATCCTAGGCTTAGACTTTATGAGGAATAATTGTTGCGAGATCGACGCAAGGTGTTTTGAAATGTGGACAGGAGGAACTTTTTATGGAAGGTGCGTTACCAGGGAACGTGTACAGCATCAAGAAGATTGTTCTTCCGCCGAGATCGGAAACGATTGTTCCGGTTAGTCTTCCTCGAAACGCTGGGCAAGCTCACCGTTGTGTACTTGTGGAAAGGGTAAACAATGACCTTCCATGGAAAGTAGCTCGAACCTTGGTCAGGACCACTGACATCTCAGGAGTACGTGTGCTGAACCTTTGCGACCGGGAACAGATTATAGAAAAAGGCACACTGGTTGGTACTTGTGAGGAAGTGGATTGGTTACGTCAGTGCCAATATATATCGAGTGGGACCCCCAGCAAGGATTCAGAAACGAGAGTGACCACACTTTTGGAAGACTGTCGCAGTGTTCTGTCCCCGAACTAATTGGTCAAGGCAAAGAAGTTGTTACTCAAGTACGCCGATGTATTCTCATCAAATGATGCTGACATAGGAAAGACTGGCCTAGTTCAACACAAAATAAACACAGGAGAGGAATTGCCTATCCGTCAGCGGCCAAGAAGATTGCCGGTAGCACGTGAAAAGGAAGTGGAAACCATGATTGAAGGAATGGTGAAGGATGGTGTTATTGAACCTTCCTCTAGTCCATGGTGTTCACCAGTGGTGCTGGTGAAAAAGAAGGATGGCAGCATGCGGTTCTGTGTTGATTACCGCCGTCTGAACGACGTTACAAAGAAGGACAGCTATCCCTTGCCAAGAATTGATGACACGCTGGACATGCTTACAGGAGTAAAATGGTTTAGCACGCTAGATCTAAAAAGTGGCTACTGGCAAGTTGAAATTGACCCTAAGGATAAGGAGAAAACTGCGTTCTCGACGGGAAAGGGTCTGTGGCAATTCAAAGTAATGCCGTTTGGGTTGTGCAATGCTCCAGCAACGTTTGAAAGGCTGATGGAACTTGTACTTACCGGGCTAATTGGCGATGCCTGTCTGGTCTACTTGGATGACATCATCATCGTGGGCCGTACGTTTGAGGAACACCTTCAAAACCTGGAACGCGTGCTCATGAAGATTAAGAGTGCCAACCTTAAGTTGAGTCCGAAGAAATGTTCACTATTCAAACGGCAAGTCAACTTTTTGGGGTATGTAGTGTCGGAAGAA